GGCCTCTCCCCCCGGGCGCCCCCCCCGTGAGACCCCCCCCGTGGGCCCCCCACCACGAGCATGAGGCCCCCCCAGCACCCCGAATCCTAGAGCCGGCCCCTCAGGTGGCATTCAGGTATGTGACCGACGTGGCCCCGCCCCTGGCTGTTGGGGACACGCAGTGACTGGCCGATGTTCCACTTTGGGCTGTTCTGACGGATGGGTCACCTTCGGGCCCTTTGTCCCCTCAGCTCTGGTTGGACCCGAGCGAGGCCCCGCCCCGTCCAAGCAGCGGTGTAGGCGCCGTGGCCATGCAAGGAGCTCTCCTTTCGGGGGGAGCCCGGACCGTACCCCAACCATCGGAGAGCAGAGAGGGCGGCGAGCGGACCGCCCGGCTGGGCCAGCCAGGTCTCCAGTGCTGCGCCAAGGGGCCCACCGACTCTGCAGACTCTTCCACGTCAAAAGTGAACCGGGACGGCGGCCGCGGCATTTCTGCTCCCTGAAAAGAGGGCTGTGAGTGTGCGCAGGTCCACGGGCCCGACGGGCTCGGGGCGAATCAGCGCCAAGTCAGCGAGGCCCGCGGCTGCCCCGACCCGCACCCGGTGCCTGCTCCTCCAAGCCCAACCGCTCGAGCCTGGAGCGCCACCTCTGTCCTTCCAGTCAGTCAACTAGGGAGAAAAAATGGACTCCCCCCTGGAAAGAAGGGGCAGAGTCCCAGTGCCCGTCGCGTCAAGGGTCCGGCTCACCCCACAAACCACGACACAGACCTGTGTTCCCACGGAAACACGCGGGGCAACTCACACGTGTGCCGCCGTGCCCCCGTTTCGGCCGCGCGCCCGACCACCGCCGCTTTCTCTCGCCGTCTTCGGGTCCCGCTCTGGGCGGTGACGAGTGTGGCCAGTGCAGCCGAATTCCCGAAAGCTGTTCACGGCACAGTCGCAGTCTCCTGTCCCCCTGGACTGACCTCTCCGTGTTCCTGGCCCCAAGTCCACTTGGCCACCGCAGATGAAGACAGACAGACGGGGGACAGCTCACTGCTCCCAGGCAGAGCCCCGAAAGGCCCGGGGAGGAACCAGGGCTGCCGTGGGGACAGGGACCAAACAAACCCCGGTGCTGCTGTGCAGGGACCGAGGGACGCGTGCGAACGCAGCACAGGGTCAGGTGACACGCCACCAGCCTCTGGCCCGAGTCACCGACGCGGAGGGAAACAGGTGGGAGTGAGAAACCTTCATAAGGGAGACAGAACGAAGAGAAGTTACGAGTGGGACTTGCGGGTTCTACCCGGGTGAGAGTGGACGCTTCCGTGGCCAAGCTGGCGCAGAAGGTCTCACGGGGAAGGCAGAACAGCCCCTTGAATGAGCGGTGACTGCCCGAGGGCTGGGCAGCCGCTGGCACCGGGGGCTCGGCTGTGACTGCACAGGGGCCCTGCCTTCCCGCCACCGCGAGTCTCCTGGACATGGGCCGCTGCCTCCTCGGGCCGCGGGGGAGCCTCAGGGCTGGGGTGCCCAGGCGTCTCACCGTGTCCCTGTTTCCCCATGGGTCATGGTGTCCTTCCACCATCCCCACGCTCCCCTCCATGTCAAGTTCAAGGGGCCTCTCTCCCCAGATGCTCCGAGGCACAGGGATGGGCCCTGCCAGCCCTCAGCGCTGCCCCGGGCTGCTCTGCCCCTGGCAGGTGCCCGCCTGCCAACACCCTTCTGTCCACTCCTCCCACGGCCCCTCCTTGGACACTCCTGGCCGCGCCCCTGGGACCTGTCCCCACAGCAGGTCTCAGAGACCCACGCTCCCTCTGCAGCCCGTCCCACCCCCACCCTGCCTCCTGTGCCCGTCCCTCAGCAAACGATCAGACTAGTGTGATAAATACCTCATTTAAAAAAATAACTGCTCTTAAAAACCAGGAAAGGTGGACCTAGGGAGACAGGGGTGGAGGACGCGGCCCGGCCGACTCTCTGGGGCCGGAAGTGGAGGCAGTTCAGACACGAGGTCTGCCCACAGGCCCGGCGGCGGCGGGTCTGGAAACAGTGACACCGACGCCCCGGCCTCCAGCAGGTGTTTGCAGAACGGCCCTGAAGGGACAACTGCAGCCTTAGAAACGGCTCCGAGGCACCGGGGCTCCCGTGACTGCAGAGCTGCCGGAGGACAGCGAGGCCATCGGGGCGCGAGCCAGTGTGGACACGAGAAAAGCTCCTCGGCTGCATTTTCCCAACAGCCAGACAGAGGTCGCTGCGGAGGGGCCGAGGCGCTGTGGGCGGGGGGACGTGGGAAATGTGGGGAGGGACGGGGGCCGGGCACCACGATGGCCTCCCGAGGGACAAGGCCGGTCAGCACTGGACACGCCTCCCTCCTGAGGGGCTGCCCTGGGCCCTTCCCACGCCCCAGGAGAGCGCAGGGCCGTTTCGCCTCTTAGAGAAAAGAGAAAGGTACCACTTCGATTGAACTCAAAGGATACAGTTTTATGACATTTATCCCTTAGCATCTTTGTCTGAGGAGACCAGTTAGGGGACGGCTTATTTTTAGGCCCCCCCGTCCCCCCCACACCTCCCTGAGGGCTTCCGGGGACAAACCCAGCTGCGTCTGGTGTGAGGACCACGAGGTGTGCGCCGCCGTCTCCGCTTGTGGGCAGTTTCTGCATCACCCACTGCAGGCGTGTCTCTCACCACGGAGCTGGGCTTTGCTTTGGGGCCACTCTGAGCATCTCTGCCTTTTAAGTGGACACGTGAAGGCCACTCACACGTGCCTGCACATGGCTGTGTGTTTGGGTGGCCTCAGCTCTCCCCCCTCCTGCGGCAGCGGCTGTGGGTGGCGGTCTGTGCCCATGTCTCCGTCTGCCCTGTGGCTCTGCCAGATCGTCCGTGCTCCGGGAGACTTGTGGTTTCCCCTGTGTGGTTAACGTGACAGTGAGACCCTTCCCCAAGTGCGTGATTGGCATCGCGAGAGAAGAAAATCACAGCGACAGAACCAACACTGAAAACTCTAGCCCCGGAAAACGTCCCGGAGATGGAAGAGGGGAGTCTCTGCGTTTGCAAGAGCCCACTGCTTCAGGGAGAATGACCAGTGACCTGCTGAGTCACGTTCTAGCAGAGCCGCAGGACTAACCTCGTGGCCCTTTCCACCCGTCCCGTGCTCCCCCATCTTCTCTGTCCCCCAGAAGCCTGTGGACGCACCCCAGGCGGCTGTAACTACGCCGTGCACGGCTGGACCCTTGAACGTACCCGTTGAGAACCCAGCAGGTGTGGTCAAAACATCAGTCTGTGTGTTATCAGGAAGGCTGGTCACAAACGCTGACCTTCGCCGAGCTCAGCAAACCCCTTCGGCCCCGACCAATAAAGCCGACCAATTGCGTGGCCTTCACCTGGGGAGAGGAGCCTCGGTGACATCCTTCCACAAGCCCCAGGTCCCCCATTTTCTCACTCGGGTGATCTGTAGCAGGTTCCTCTTTGGAGCAATCAGACATCACAGCCAATGAGAACCCAGAACTACAAAGGCAGGCAGCCACGCGGGTCTGGCCTGTGGGCAGGTGCGGGGAGTCGTGTCTTCCCAGGATTCCTCCGCATTCCCACCCACGGGGCCTGTGGACGTGGCTGTATTTGGAAATAGGGCCTTTGAAGAGCCATCGGTGAAGATGAGTTCTTTGGGTGCCCCTGACCCAGTATAACTGGGTCGGAGAGAAAAGAAAGGGCTATGAGGGAGCAGAGACGGACAGAAGGGGGACAGAAGGGGGGGAGCCGCAGGGCTGGGAGGCTGCGGCTGCAGGGACCTCAGGTCTGGAGGCCCAGCACTTCCCGCCAGAAGCTCCAAGTGGGGAACCTTCCTGTCCCCGCAGGCCCGCCCAGGCCAGGCCCAGGGTCCCCGCCCCCACAGCAGGGAGGGCCCAGTCATCGGTCATTTGTCAAGGCAGCCCCAGGGGCCCTGGAAAAGCCTCAGGACACCAGCCTGTCCAGGAGTAAAATCAGGATTTTCTCAGACAAGCAACTCAGGGCTATGTTGTTCACATCAGTTACACCGACTCATTAGCTGACCAATTATAAATGGTGAAAAAAGAAACTCCGTTCCTGAGAGCGTCAGGCTCACCCAGTTCACAGCCGCCCCTCGCCCGCCCGCAGCGGTGCTCCCTGCAGCGTCTGCAGCCCGCCGGTCAGAAGCAGCGAGTGAAACACAGAGGACAGATGGAGGCTGCTCGCAGGCTGCGAACTGCTCGCTGCTCTGAGTGGCGAGGAGAACCGGGCACCATCCCGCTGCGGCCGCCCAGGAAGGGCAGGCGTCTGCCCAGCGTCCACACACCGAGCGCAGGGCAGGGAGACGCTCTGAGAAGAAGAGTCCACGCTCACGTCACGGTCACTGCAGTGTGTCGCTGCCGTCGTCCCGTTGCCCTGTCAGTCACTGTTAGTCTCAGACGCGCCGGACTTACAACCCGGCCTTCATCACGGGGGTGTCTGTGTCAGGAAGTGGTGCCCAAGGTGGCAAAGGAGGTTCAGTTGTGAGTGCAAAACAGCTTCTTCTTGTATTACGATTTATTAATTATCGTATTTTGTTTCCGCGTTTTTGTATGCGTCCGGGTCCCCACGCACATTCAAAAGGGAGGGGAGGGAGGGTGTGGAGCTGGGACACTGCCCGACCGGGGGGAGGGGGGGGGTCTCCACAGGAAGGAAGGGGACCCGTGTGAACCGGCCACAGGTCTACTTGGTGGGGCAGCTCCCACGCCTGGGCGGGAAGCTGCCTGGCACCTCCTAACCCACCCGGGTCCCCGGGAGAGGTGCAGGTGCCCTCAGAGCAGCTGCCGGCCCCTGGGCCCCTGGAGGACACACCCTGGTTGGCCCACGAAGGGAGAGGCTGGGGCGGGGGGTGCTGTTTTGTTAGCCCTGAGGTGGGCGCTGGAGACGCCCCAGCTTGACAGCAGGTGCTCGGACGACCCAGGGGCAGCCCGCCCTCGGGGATGAAGGCCAGTTCCCCCAAGCCCCAGCCATCTGCCAAACACCCAGGCGCCTGCCTTGTCTTCCAAAGGTGACAGAGAAACACAGGAGGAAAAAGAGAAAACGTGGTTTATTCCACGCACGACAAAACTCCACTCTCGACTCGACGTGAGAAGCAGAACAAAACAGGCTGGACGGAGGCCGCTGTGAACACAGGCCGGGCTGTGCTCTGTGGCGGCCTCCTGCGCTTCAAACGGGCACACTGCTGGGTGCGGGCCTCAGTGCCCACCCTCGGGGGGCGGGGGGTAGAACACCGGGCCGTCCTCGCAGACCTCCAAGCCCCGCGGCGCCCCCTCCAGCAGCACACGCCCCCTGCCGCCCCTGGGCTCCCACGGGTCCCCGGGCTCCGTGCAGTTGCGCAGCTGCAGGTCCTTCGTGAAGCAGAGCTCGATCTGGCCGAGGGTCTGCACCTCCTCATCCTGAATGTGAGAGGAGAGGTGGGTTAGAATTCGGGTCCAGGGTCATCATCCGAGCTCCACCATCGCCATGACTTTGAACTTGAACAAGAGGCATCTCCCTGCCTGGGATCCGGGCTCCAGGAACACGCCCCTCCTTCTACAGTGACCTGGGCCAGGGCCCTGGTGCTGCCAGGATTCCAGGTCCCCACCGGGCACTGCTGTCCCAGGAATTCGCACGACTACAGGGGCGGGCAGGCAGCCGCACACACATCTCAACACCGGGGTGGGGGCGGCTCCTGGGCAAACCGGCAACCGCATCCTACCCCCAAGAGACTCCCGTCTCCCTCAGCTGACAAAACGGCTACAGCTCATTTATGAACTGGACAGAACCACGGACACCACAGAGGAAACCAGAAATGTTCAACCGCAGCACAGCCCCTCCGCGGGGGTGCGTCCTGGGGAGGGGGTGCGTCCTGGGGGGGGTGCGTCCTGGGGAGGGGGTGCGTCCTGGGGGGGTGCGTCCTGGGGGGGGGGTGCGTCCTGGGGAGGGGGGGTTGGGGGTGCGTCCTGGGGAGGGGGTGCGTCCTGGGGAGGGGGGGGTGGTCCGGGGGGGGGGGTGCGTCCTGGGGAGGGGGTGCGTCCTGGGGAGGGGGTGCGTCCTGGGGAGGGGCATCCTGGGAAAGCAGACCTGTCTGCATGGAGCCAGAGAGCAAGGTGAGTCCAACACACACACAGCACACACGTAGTGTGTGCCCACAGTCACATCTCGCACGCACACACCTTAGCACACATATGCACACACACACACAAGCAACTCCGCGCCCAGGGACTCCGTGGTCTGCATAGAGCTGCCCGCAGATAAAGGGGAACTTGTCCTCCCGATAACGACAGGAAGGTCCACGAAACAGCACTCTGACCTGCTCTGGCGGAAGACACTGGACTTTAGGTACGACTCCGTACAAGCTGGCAAGGGCGTCTTTGATATCTGAAATCTGAAACCAGGACAGTTCATTAGAAACGAAACTCCCAAAGAGAAAGAAAGACTAGCAGCTCTCTGGTCAGACGTGACGCTGGCCCACATCCTCGAGAACGTGGCTGACAGCAGTGCCCTAGCTCAGCAGACGGGGCAGGACGTGCAGGGGACGGCCCCGCCCACTCCCCGCCCCCCAGGGACAGGCCGCGGCGCGCGGCCTCCACCCACCGGACCGCGGCCACACACGCCCAGCTCTCTGTCTTGCTCCCCCAGCTGCACCCAGAGCTTGGGGGGCGGGTGCAGAAGCAGATGGTGCCCGGACGGTCAGTCCAGCCGATGCTCGCACACTGGGACCTGCTGCTGAGTCACCGTGCCGGCTCTGGAACCGACTAAGTGCCTGCGGCCTGGAGGACTCGGAGGAGCTGTGGTCACTGCTGCCTTTGGTACAATTGAAGCCGAGTTCTGGGCAACACTCAGCACACAATCCCTCATCCCTGGGGCAGGAGCCCAGATGACTCCCGGCGTCCTTACTCTCCTGGGGCTCCCAAGAAGGGTGGTCAGGGGGCAGCGATTATCCATCCCCAGGGTCACTGCCCCCTCCACACCCTCCGTGGGGGGAGGGAGAGACCCTGCTAGACTCCACAGAGCAAGACCAAAGGGCCTTGGATGTCACACTCTGTCCAGCCGTGCTGCCCGAACGACAGAACTATTATTGGTGACTTTCAACCTCATTCACCCACATCAGCGATAGGACAAAACCACATCCGAGAATGGCTGGGCTTCTCTAATGTGAGAGCCACAGACTGACCCAGTAACGGGCCAGAGAGCAACCTCAGGGCCTGCGGCCACACCCTCTCCCTGCTGGGCAGCTAATCAGGGCCGGAGGGCGGCTGTGGGCCAAGGCGACTTTGCTCTCGTGCAAGCTCACCTGCCGACGAGATCTGGTCATGCTCAAGTCCCTACAGTCTTATCATAAAAACGAAAAAGCATAGCGTCATCATGAAAACGGGGACAAATGCTGTTTCGTCCTTAAACGAAATGCTGTGAAACCGAATGCCCCCCAGACTGCCCATCCCACCTGCCTGGTCCGCACCCAGACACGCTTCCGATCGTTGGTATAAGTAAGCAGCCTCTGTGCACACTTACTGTGCACAGGGAAACACGACTGAACACAAGGTTTCTACAAGCCTGGCAGTGACGTAGGAAGGAGGACCGTCCGGCCACGCTAAAGCCGAGGGCACCCCCAGGCTGGCCCTTTAGCCTGCCAGGTGTCCCCAGGTCAGAGGGGACGCGTTTGACGAGAAGTTCAAAGCGGACTGACCTGGTAGTAATTGCCGGACGGCCGAATCCCCAACTTCAGGAGCACGCTAGGGTTTAAAGTGAGGAAAAAACAAGTTAACTGTAGAAGGAAGGTCCACGTTCCTTTCTCGTTCTTCCCAAACATCACGTTTCAGAGTGGAAACGAAGATGCTCGTAAAGTGCTTCTTTTTTCTCCCACTAACACGGGCAGCGAGCCGGTGGCTGAGGCGGGCCCCACACCCAGCGCCGCGGGCCCGGGCCTCCTTCTGCTCCGGGTGCTGTCCACGGGGTGCAGGCCCGCCCCCACCCAGTCGCCACGCCTGTTCTGAAAGACAGTTCGCCATCAGCCTGGGGCTCTAGGCTTGTCCCCGGAGAGGGCGCTGGGCCAGAGCTGTGGCCACCTCCAACACCTGCAGCCTTGAAGCTTTTCCTGCAGCACGGGGTTTGAACCAGCTCCAGCGACCACCCCCCAGTGTCGGGTGTTGAACTTCCTACCTCGCGGAGAAACGATAAAAATTCTCACACTGATAGTGCCCCCCAAACCCTCTAGCCCCTCACGCCTCTCCGGGTCACCTGGGGGGGAGCCACACAGAGTGGACGCAGGGACAGTGGGTCGGCTGAGCGGGGGGCGCCTCTTTAGCTGCGGTTTCTGACAAAGTGACCCTGCGTTGACGAGCTAGCCTCTGTCAGCTCTGGTCTCTGGGCTGCGATGCCCTGCAGCTCGCGGGGCAGGGTGGGGTGGGGTGTCCAGCCAAGGTCCTCGGAGCCCAGGAAACACACCAGCCCACCGCCTGCCCCTGCTGTCTGTCCATGTAGGAGAAGGGCCGGCCTCCAAAGACTTTGTGCCAAATGCAACATTTCCCAAATTTCTGTATTTATTACAGGTGGCGGTGATCATAGCGTAAATATGTTGGGTTAAACAGAGACTGTTATAAAGTTAGCCTGTTCCTGCCCCATCCTGTGAGGAGTGAGATGATGACAAAGCGCCCCGCCCTCCCGCTGGGCCGGGGGGAGCCGCCGGGGTCCCCAGGAACGCCGGTGAAGAGGGAAACTGCGGGGGAGGTGGCACGCAGCCCCCTTTGGCATGAACCCCCGGTCCACCTGTCCGTTCAAGATATTCTGCATTCTATCAGGCTTGCCACTTTAAAATTATAAGTGAATTAAAAAAACTGCTAGCTTATGGTGTCCGACAGGCTTGCCTCTGAGAGAGACACTCTGCAGTGATGGTTTACAATGCAGAGGAAAACGCAGGGTGCTAAGGTTTGAGGTCTTAATCTTAAGGCCTGACAGGCAGGTTGGACCCGGCCCCCAGCGGGCGCCTTGGGGATGGTTTCTGAGAGCTCCGAGGCCCGTGACTGGAGACCTGTTCCGAGGGCTTCTGCACCCCGCAGGCCTCGGCCACGTCCCAAGGGCCTGGGGGCTTCCCGAGGCCTCGGGCCTGGCCCACCGCCCTCCCCGCTACTCCGTGGGCATTGCAGCAGAGACCCAGAGGTCACCAACGACCGGTCTGAGAACTGTCCTCTGCGCTCAACTCGCTTTCGTGGGAAACCGAGGCTGGACGAGGCCCTGATCGGGGCTGCTCTCCTTAGGCCGACGCACCGAGCAATGACATCCCCGCCCGGCGCGGAGCCCAAGGCCCCGTGTCCCTCTGCGTGGCCAGGACCCACAGTGACATGGAGAGGCCTGGCAGGAGACACGTGTGCTGCGGACAAGCATGGCCACGACCAGGACCGCAGACCGGAGGAGGGCAGCTGCCCTCGCTGAGTGGCTCCAGGCTCCCCCCGGGGTGGGGACATCACACCTGAGAGAGTCTGGGCACCGGGGAGGCTGCCACACACAGCGGCTGCCTGTGTGGAGCCGCCGGACCACGGCTGCCTACCTGTTCAGGGCGAGCCCCTTGTACAGGTCCAGGCCCTTGCTGAAGTACTTCTGCTGGGAGTTGAGGGCCTCCAGCTGGGCGACACAGGTCCCGTGCTTCTCCCACTCGTGCTTCCTGGAAGGAGGCAGGACATCCCAGTTAAAAGGCACAGGGCTGCTGGCCGCCGTGGCTCAGTGGCTTGGGCACTGGCCTGTGGAACCGTCGCTGGTTCAGTTCCCAGTCAGGGTGCATGCCTGGGCTGTGGCCGGGTCCCCAGTAGGGGGCGTGTGAGAGGCAACCTTGCATCCAAGTCCTCATCTGTGGCACAGGCAATGGTCACTTCGCTTGGAACTGGCCGTTTCTCATTTAATACCAAGCTGTCCAATCAGAAGTGACCATCGTGCAGCCTCTCTCCTCCCCCACCCCCAAGCAGAGCACATGAGCAGAGATGGGGGGGTCACCCGTGACACCCTGGGCCGCCCCAGGGACCAACCGCTGAGGCCCAGGGACACCTTCCCCAGGGAGGCTGCGTGGCCACGCTGGGCCTGGCCGGCCTGGCCCCGTTCCTGACGAGAATCAAGAGCAGAGGGCTGTGTACGTGGTGCGTGCGTCCCAATGGGGCTGATTTACCGAGAGGGTTAATCTCACTCAGGGCACGATCTCGAGCCCCTGGAGCACCCAGGCCGTCTGCTCTGCACACTCGGTTCTTATCTGGCATTAAAGGGAACGGTTTTCTGACCGCTGCCTCTTCCTGCTAAGGCCGGGCCGGGCAGACGCCCCTGCAGTAAAGGTGACTGGGCAGCTGGGGCCCGCCTGTGGCGAACGGGGAGCAGGGACGACGGCGCTGTGGGTGCTCTCCACACCTGTCCTTCTGTACTGGGGAGCTCTGGGGGGCGTAATATTAACTAGTGGGCGACGTTTGCCTTCGTCACAGTACAAAACGTTTCAAGTGCGTAACTGAACTACCCAGCCTAGAAAAGGACATCGCTTTGCCTTTTCCCAGCATAAGTGCATACTTGGCCCGCACTATGTTGATTAAACCTTCAAGGACCAGCGCACAGGAGACCTTTGTATGTTTGTGGATTTAGTTTTTAAGCCACGTGAAACACTGTGACAACTGGAGGCAGGACAGTTGATGTACTTAGTTACCACGCCAGTTAGCGAGCTGCCCTGCGAAGCACTGCAACTGTTGCAATGCCCGTTTCCGTTCCCCAGGCACATTATCCATTGGAAACCCTGCTGGAGCCCGAACCGCCCATCCCCCCACCTGCCCCGCGTGCTTCTCCTCCGCGTCAGAGGCGTGACTTCAACCCACAGACCCGGGACCCTCGGGCCCTGAACCATCTTCCCGCCCCAGCCCCTTGCACTGAACACTCGTGACCAGGACCGCAGACACCCTGGTCATTCCATTTTGTTTTCGAAAGCTTTTCTCTAAAATTCACTCTTTTCCTGAAAATGCTACAAAAAATATTTTAGGTTAACCCTTTTGGACAAAACCTGACCAGTTGTAATCTGAATTGTAAACTGACACACTGGAGTGAGATGAAGAAAATGAAGAATTATCTTCAGTTAATAAACATAAATAAAAGAATGTTAATTTTATCTTCCACAGCACTGTCCTCCGGGCTCAGCCCGGCTCTCGCCCCGCTGAGAGGTGTGTCCATGGGGCGGCCGAGGCCTGTGGCTCGGCAAAAACTCCCCCTTTCCTTCCTCCTTGAGCCTTTCAACCGCGTAAACCCTCTTCTGAACCACGTCCTCCTTGTTCTGGGCATTTCAGACGCAGCCCAGTTTCTCCAGGAGCTACTCTGTCCCGTCTGACTTGGAGTGGCGGCTTCTGAGACCTGCAAGTCATTCAACCTCAGCAGAGGACGTCTTTAAAATGAGGCAACGAATGAAATAACAGATTAAAAATGAGCTGATGAAGTGCCTTCCCCGCCCTCGTTTTTATCCATCGAGGAGGGAGGCACCACAGACAGCATATGGGGGGGGTGCGGGAGGCGTTCTGCATTACGGGTCACTCACGCCGCTCAGCCCAGAGGACAGGTTGTGCGCTCTGTCACCTGCGTGTCACCTGTGTGTCCCAGAGTTCCATGGAGCGCCCTGGCGAGGCTCACACCGCGCCTCAGGCGTGTGATGCTGATGGAACTTACCAGAAAGAGCTGCGATTGGCAGGCGAGTGGAGGACATCAGGCCAGTACATATACATTTCTTGCAAAAGATCCTACGTATAATCAAAGGATTTAGATAGACCAGCGCACGATGAGAACTGGGTCATCGATAACACTCAGCGAGCTACTGTGATTCCACGCTTGTCCCGCGTGAAGTGTTCGAGCCGCTCAGAATCTAAACGTGAAGTCTCAGCCCCCACAGGTAGGTTTGAACACACAGGCTCTCCTGGGTGAGTGGTCCATCCAGACAGTGTAATGCCACTCAGCACTTAAAAGAGAAATGCGCCACCAACCCATGAAAAGACGTGTGGGAACCTTCCACACACGCGGCCGAGTGGAAAAAGCCAGTCCGAACAGGCGGGGGGCCCCCGACTCCATGACAGTCTGGGAAAACTACAGGAACAGCAAAGAGACCGGGCGGCCAGGGGTCGGGGGAGAGGTGGGGGGTGAATGGAAAGAGCTCAGCAGACTTTTGGGAAGTGACGCTGCTCCGTGTGACTCTGCGATGGGGGATGATGTCACCATGCGTTTGCCCAAACCCACAGACCGTCCAACACAAGGAGGGACCTGGTGTCAACGATCAACTTCAGTCAGTAACAAAGTACCGCGCTGGCCCATCAATTACAACACGTGTGCCACTCAACCTTTCTACAGGTTTCTAGAACTGCCCTGAAAAGCAAAGCATCCAGTGCCCTGGCTGCTATGGCTCAGTGGATTGAGCGCGGGCCTGCAAACCAAAGGATTGCGGTTTGATTCCCAGTCAGGGCACAGGCCTGGGTTGCAGGCCAGTTCCCAGCAGGGGACGCCCAGCAGGGGACGCACAGGAAGCAACCGTACATTGACATTTCTCTCCCTCTCTCTTTCTCCTCCCCCATTAAAAAAAAAGGTAACATCCCAGTAAACAAGCTTTTCTTCAAACAAGCTCTCCTCCCCCGGCAGAGGCAACCTCAGCAGAGGCAGCGGAGGAGGAGGCCCGACGCCCTCAGAACCTGCCCTGCTGCCTCCACCTCCACCGTCTGCCCCACCAGCCCCTGGGGGATGATGGTCAGTGACCAGACAACTTATTGCCCAAACTGGGCCATTTTGTTTGGGACGAATGCTGACTGGGACACTGCAATCAGCCAAGTGTCTGACCCTCACACCTAACATGGCAGCCCCTAAACATCCTACCTACACTCAGCTGGAGCTGGGTTCTTCAGCTCCCAGCACCCTCCCATGGGGGGGGGGTCATAGGTCAGAGAAAGGACGCTGAACCAGCACAGCACTCTGGGCTCTGTAGTCCGCAGCCCTGACACCCAGGCTCACGGCTCACCCCAGCCACACTGGCTCCCTCCCTGCTACTCAAAGGCTCCGTGCTCTCTACCCCAGGGCCTTGGCACATGCTGCGTCCTCAGCCTTCCTCGCCCTTCACCTAATTAAATCAGATTCCAGCTCAAATGTCACCTCCTCAGAGGAGCCTCGCTGGGGTGCTCCGCTCCCCAGGCGTGGCTGAGGTGACGTCACTGCACCCGTCTCCAATGACATCAAGCAACGTGGGCCGGGACCACGTCTGGTGGTGCTCCCCACCTCTCCAGCCCTGAGCTCGGGACCTGGCCAGTAGCAGTGCACGGTCACTGAATAAATTCGTCTCTAATTCCACTCTAGGGTCACACAATTTAACCAGGAAGGTCCCTGAAGCATTGGGGGGGGGGGGGGGAGACAAAGTAGGTCTGGGAAGAGGAAAGTGCCTCTGAGGAGGGTGCGTTGCCAGCTTTGGGGGGCACTAATGACCCCTACAGCTGGCCCACGCCGCTGAGGGTCCCCGAGGGACGAAGAGAAAACAATCCCCGTGGACTAGAGCCCGTGGTGGGTTTAGAGCTAATGACCTTGTCCTCTGGGGGCCGCGCATTCCTGGGAGGACCCGTAATTCTAGCACCTCCTGAGTCTGCCCCAGGAAGCAGGGGGGCCCTAGTGGCCTGAAGTCCAGGTGCTGGTGGCCCTGGCAGATGACCGGTCACAACCCCCCCAGGAGAGGGAAGCACCTGCACAGATGTGCACACGCGTGTGTGCGTGGGCAGCGCATTGGCTGACCTCTCTCCGGCCTGCGAGGTATCACTGGCAGGGCCCTCTGACCGGAAGGACTGGTCACTCCCTCCCAGCGTCCAGCCCCAGGGAGAAACCTGCCCCTCACAGGCCACGAAGGACAGCCAAGGTACAGCTGTCTCTTCTGCGAGCCACGGCTGTCCATCTGGGTGTGCCTGCCATCTGCCAAGCTGGGGGGCGGGGGATGGAACGGCAGCAGGGACTCTGGGAGCAGCAGGGTGGGGCTCTGGGCGGGCAGGTGAGGGGCTGGCAGGTGAGAGCCCCCGCAGTCCCAGTGGCTGCTGCTGGGTTCCCCAGGAACCCCGCGGCTCGTTCCCAGGGTCTGGGCGGAGGAGAGGGTTTGTTCCTTTTTCGTTTAGGGTCTGAGTTCACATGTCCTGAGGTGCCAGGGGTTCGATCCTGGCTAATGAGTCATGACCCTCTCTTTAAAGCTGGCCTGAGGGCACCGGTCAGCACCCCGGGGCGACACCATGGGGAGTGACGTCAGGAGGAGTTCGTACCTTAATCTCGTTAAAATTGAAGTGCCAGGAGCGGTTGCATGCTTCTGCTTTGTCAGCCCTGGAGATTTAAACAGGAAAGAGAGATGATTCAGTCTGGGTTGGGATGGGTTTCAAGGACAGGAGAAAACATCCCACTGAGGTCTGCAGAGGATGAAGGGACCCTCAGTGGGGACGCACGGGACACGAGAGGGTCAGGCACCGACCCGCAGAGGAGAGGGTGGCGGACTGCGCTGGCCTGATGCTAACAGCAGCACCCAGCAGGAGGCGCTCCCAGGCAGGTTGGCGGGGTTCCAGCTGGGGGGGTCGCAGCTGTCAGGGAGCTGTGCTGTGCAAACCCCACTCCACAACCAAGCAGGAGGATAGCAGGAGCGCCATCCCTTCAAAGGGAGGTGACGGTTAAGGGGACAATGTGAAGAAGGGCTCAGCTGGGACAGTTTTTTACAGCACCAAGCCCTGGGTCTGCATGTCACCCTGGCCTCAGGCACCTACAGCTTCAGCCTGGGCCTCGAGGTCGCCAAATTTACTCTCCAGACCCCCATTGTTCTCCTGGTGTCAAAAGCTGTCCCTGGCCTGGAACAGAAGCCACCCCCACGGGGACAGCAGCGTCACTGTGCACTGTCATCCCTCACAGGTGGGGCAGCAGAGGCACCAGACAACCCCAGAAACTCAGGGTCCCACACACTACAGCGTCCAGGTCCCCGACACTTGGGGGAAGGTGGCCTAGAGGCCAGGTCCCCGGGCCCCGGTCCACTCTGCTCTCTGCGGACCCCTGTCCCGAGGCCCGCCCGTGCCAGCCACAGCAGTAGGGCCTGCTCTCGACCGAGCGGGGATGGACAGACCAGTGGTGGGCATGTTAATGTGCACAGTCTGGCACCCCAAATACACGCGTGGGGAGCAAAGGAACGGACTAAACAAAACATGGACAAAGGCAGGAAAATGAGCCTGGGTGTCTGTGGAGTGTGTGTAACACAGATTATACAGCCCTGGCTGGTGCAGCTCAGAGGACAGATTGCTGGCCGGAGAACCAAAAGGTCGCCGGTTCAATTCCCAGTCAGGGGGCATGCCTGAGTTGCGGGGCCGGGCCCCCCGCAGGCATCAAATCAATCTCTCTCTTGCACAATGATGTTTCTCTCCCTCTCTTTCTCCCTCCTTTCCCCTCTCTCTAAAAACAAAAATACATAAAATCTAAAAAATAATGATTAAAATATAATTCACTTACTGTCTCCCAAAGAAGAAATGAGAAAATTAAAATGTACTAATCCTAAAATACACCCAGAATCCTTAAATGCATATCAAAAATGGAACTAAATAACAGCAACAACAGAATTAGGATTATGTCAGAGACACCAGTGGTGTTTTTAAATGAGGGTCTGGTCCACTGAATAAGCTGCAGGGTCTACTAAAATAAAATCCGGACAAAAACCTCAAGTGCAGACACTAGGACCAGACTCAAGCTAGAGCCCCCCCCCCCCCCCGAGGGCCGAGCTTTCGCTGTGTGGAGCGCTTGCCAGAGTCCGTGTATCGTCCAGTAATCCGGGGGGCTTCTGCAGTCGTTCGTGACCTCCTGCAAAGAGACAGGCAGAGAGGCGTCGGTCCGCGGCTCACTGAAGCACGCTCGGCGGCCCTCCTTTCTCCCGCTGCACCGGTGACGCCCGGGAGGGATCCACACGAACCAAGTCCTGCCCGAATTTGCGATCATTTCACTCCCGCAACACATTCATGGGGAGACTGCGCAGGCCGGAGGTCGGACTGGCAATGAGTACACCGACCCTCAGTCTAAACGACAGAATTAAAAGCCAGTTTTTGCTCTTTTTTATCTGCTCGCAAATCGAGTCAATCTGGTGGAAACACTACTGTCCGTGAATACGTCTCCTGTCACTTAACTGTGAATGGGTGTTTGGGGACAAGTCTCACGACCCCCACGGGCCTGACATCTGTCCAGCACCAAGTCCAAACGCGGCAGCCCAATGGGAACCACCGAACGCCGAGGCCAGAACAGGAGTGAGTGATGAGACACACGAGACCCTGTCCATGTAACGCTCTTCGGGGACCTCCACACTGCTCAGCTAAAATGGAGTTTTTCCTAAATAAACAGCCATCAGGAAATATATTTTCACTATCAAATGAGATATGCAAATAGAAAGGGCCAGGCAAGGGCCAGGTGAGGGCCGGGGCAACTGTGGGGCGGGAGGTGGGCGTGCCCCGTCCTCGATCCTTCCCCTCTGAATCACCGGCTGGGGCACAGTGGCTTCTGTGACTGGTCTGGACACTGGGGGTCTGGGGAAGTAGCTGAACTATCTGCTGTGAGGAGGCCACGGAATGACCAGCAAGAGAGCAGGGTGACAAAGGCAGGGTCAGAGCCGCGGGCCCCGGGTCCCCAGTGCAGACCGAGAGGGTCAGTCTGGGGAAGAGCAAAGCCAGACCAGCGCCAGCCTGGGTCTCCTGCCGGCTCCATGACCGGCGTCTGGGGGAGGCTTTCCGGGGTGCCGGGGCCCACGGGGCGGCTGGCTTCCATCGCCAGGGAGGACTCTGGCAGGCGCCCCAGGGGCCATGCTGAGCAGGAGGACAGGCCTGTCCCCACACCTGTGAGGCCCACCTCCCTCGGGGGAAAGGTGCCCGGGGTGGCACCCAGACGAGAGTGACTGCCCAGATTGAAAAGAATTCCCTGATAATGACACTTCACTAGTTACACAATTGCTGAAATCTCACTTCCGAAGCCTCAAGGCAGGAAGGCACTTCCGTGGGGTTCCATCAGCAGCCTGAACACACCCACGGTGGTCCCACAGCTGCCTCGCCCACCGGGGACCTTGCCCCTGCCCTGAGGGAAAGCCCCCGCGTGGCCCAGGACACAGCTCTGCACACACAGGCCCTTCCCGCCACCACTTAACTGACCGGGAGCCAGACGGGGCTGCCAACCAAACTGGACACAGGTGACAGGCGCTGTGCCCTCCCCGCACCTGCCCCCAGAGCAGAGAAACCACAAGGGGAGGCGGGCAGGATAATACTTGTGAAGTGTGCAAAGCTGCACACAGAGCAGCCCCGTCCGGTGCGTGTGCACACTGTTAGAAACACTCCTGGGTCGGGAGTGCAATTCGGTGGGAGTAACAAGTGATATTCATCTTCATTTGTCAGCAGAAAAATCAGTCGGTGAGGAAGTGGGAAGAAGCCACAGGGCTCTGGGTGTCACGGGTGACCAAACCACAAGGCAGTTATTGGCTGTTTCCAGCTCTCAGTGATTAAAGGAGGGGCCTCTTGTAACTTAGATTCTGGAGCGAGAACTTCAGAAACACTCTCCGAGTGTCTAGAGATCGCCCGGCACTGCGGGGGGCACTTCGGGTCTGGGCCACGGGCAGCAGCTTTACTCCCCGCCCATAGAGGAGGGGCGAGCTGAGGCAGGGTCCCCCCACACTGAGACAGAGCCCCTCCATCTCAGACAGGGTCTTCTCCGCAGTGACACTGTAAGGACAGAGGGCCCAGGACGAGACAGGGGCACAGACAGGACGACCGGCCTGCGGGGGACCAGGGGCTGCATCTGTGCGGAGCAGAGCCCAGAAGGCTGCGGTCTCTGCGGACACATTCCAACCAGACTTGCAGAAACGAAGGGAGGAGCCGGGTCAGCCCTGCAGCCAGCTGAGCCCCGTCCCCAGCAAAGACGGCTGAGGGCCTGGGACCTCGGCCTCAACTGGAAACAGGGTCTTCACGGTATCCTTGGGTGAAGGTGGGGGCCAACTGGGTGGGGTGGGCCCTGATTCCGATCCCTGGGGCTTTCACAAGGCACAGAGACACAGATCGGAGGCCCCCTGTGAGCACAGAGCGGAGCCTGGAGTGACGTGTCTACGAGCCAAGCACAGCCAGCAATGCCAGAAGCTTCCAGAAGGGGCCAACCCTGCCAGCATCTCAGCTTCAGACCTCAGCCTCCGGAACTGAGAAAACACACTCCTGACGTTCTGAGCCACCCGGGTTGCGGCACTGGGTCACAGCCCCTGGGAACCGGTCACAGGCTCGTGGAGAGGCAGTGTCCTGCGGGGACCCGCTCCTGCACCTCCCAGCCTGCGGTCCTCGGCCCTCAGGGAGGGACTTCCCCCAAACCACTGGGGGCGGGGTTCCCTGGATGGAGGGGCCACCGGGGCAGAAACACTCACCTTGCACACGGTCGTAGGCCAGTGGTGAACCATAATCAGCTTTTTCCACTCGTGGTCGCCACTGTGAAAGACAAGGAACTCGTTTTCCAAAACTGTTTCAAAGTCACAGTAAATCAGTCCACCCTTCCATTAATGCTTTCACCCCCTCGAGAAGCACTGAGTGCCCTACTGCGGGCGGGGTACCTCTGTGGTCAGGGAAGCCGTCCCAAGTGAGGGATGGAGTCCCCGGGCACCACCCTGAGTGATGGCCGAGTCCCCACGCTCCCGAAGTGCACCTGCCCGTGTGGAAGACGACACCTCAGTGAGTGAAGCCCACTCGCGGCGCTGTGCGGTGACAAGTGGTGAAAAATATAACTCAGGAAGCAGACAGGCATGGCTGGGCGGGGCGGGGCTGAAATTCCGGTCAGGGAGCCAGGAAGGCTCCTCAAGGGCAGCGGATGCTGGGAAGGCGGGAAGAGCCACACAGCACCTCTGTCCTGAGCAGACTCACGGACAGACCCGGGCCCCTCGTCCCCTGGTGAAACCCACAGGCCCTGCCAACTCCACTGCTTCGTTCATTTGGCTGCCACTGAAGCAGCCGAGGTCCTTCAGTCACACCCATTCAGAGAACGACCCTGTTCTCTGCAGCATGGGTGCCCTGAGACCAGAGGGTGCCCCATCCGGCCCTGGGTGCCACCTGAACACTAAGACTTTCCCATAAGGGATCAGAGTTGCGTCACATGCACACTGTCAACAGGAAGCGCCAGCCCCGTCTGCCAGGCTCAGCAGACAGACGGACAGATGAGACAGAAAGGACTCAGGCTGCAGACAGAGGCAGCAATGGGACGTCCTCAAGCAGAGGGTTCACAGGTGAAATGGGACCAGGCCTGGGCACCTTTGATTGCGTGCATAAGTGAGTACCGCTGAGTAGGTGCCAATCGTCGGTGTTATGAAACCTTGCTTTTAGGTCTGAAACGATGGGGCAAGCACTCGGTGTAGAAGAAAAGCCACAGGAACTGCAGCGTGAGCGTCAGGGCTGGGAGAGGTGTTGGAAGCTTCACCCCAGATGCAAAACCCGACTTCACACAGGTGGAGACCAAGGCTGCAGGCCAGGCCATGGCCCAGAGCCCAGACTGTCACTGATTGCACTGAAACTACCGAGACTACCAAGACATCTGAAACACAGTCCCCGGCCACGGTCCAGGCCAAGGGGACACGAGCGCAGAGAAGCTTCCTCCCACAGCACGGAGAAGCTGGGGACCCCCAGAGCAGAGGGAGAGAGAGCCAGTCACTGCGTTCTCAGCCCGGTCATCCTGGGAAAACGCCCGCTGACCTGTGCAGCCCTCCAGGGTCTGGGCCAACTTTGTCCCAGTCAGGGCACTGTCCAGTCAAGGAGGGTGCATGGCGTATGTTGTGGGGGCACAGACTCCAGCCCTGGTCTTTAGCTGACACTGACTGATGACCCTTGACCCTGTTCCTAGCACGCATGCACGGTAGGGGTAGGTGTTTTTATATATAACTTCTTTTTAATCCTCACCCGAGGATATGTTTATTGATTTTAGAGAGAAGAAGGCAGAGAGAAGGAGAAACATTGATCGGCTGCCTCCCGCAGCGCCCCAGGGGACCGTGGGTGGAGGCGCAGCAGCGGTGGAACCCGAAGTCTTGTGTTGTGCCTGAGGATGGCCAACCAACCCAAACCGCCCGCAGGGGCGAAGGCAGGCGCTGTTTCCATCTCCGTGCACGGCCCCACTCGGCCACTGCTGCACCCACCGCCCCTCCAGTGACACCCTGCACCCGAGGGCAGAAACCAGCTAGTGCCTGTGGCTCTTCAGAAAATATGCTTTCTGGGAACACTGGAACATAACGTTTCCTTTAGAAATAGATACTAAAATAGCAACGGTTTCATTAAAGCTGTCTTTAAAAAGTTAAAACCCACCTTTTCCCACACTTGTGTAAGCGTGAAATCCTTCTATTAGTGTGATCATTACTCAAAGAAAACTAGAAGGAAAAATTCAAACCTGGTACTCTAGCTTTGGTTTCCCGTACAAAGTCGAGTGAGGATCCTGAACGACACAGCCCATTCACCGCCCAACACCCCCCCCCCCCCAACCATTGAGGGAAGCGAGGGGCAGAGCAGGAAACTTAAAAGGAGGAACCAAGCCCCGTCTCACTAACAGTGCGCTGCAGTCTAAACTACAGGTGCTCCAACAACCTCGGGGAGAATTTCAGAGGAGGGACACACCGCGACTATCCGGCACCGCCCCCTCCGAAGCTGGGACCCTCTGCGGATGCCGCCGCCCGCGCAGGAACCCGGAAGCGCCGAGGACAGCCGGCAGGACCCGCACCGCGGACGCAGGGGCTCGCCTACCTCCTCCAGAGCTCCTGCGCGCAACAAAGGGAGCAGAAGGCCAGGCAGAAGGAGCACAGGACGACGCGGCGAGCTGCTGCAGGCTTCATCGCGCCGAGACTTCTGGGAGAGACCCTGCAGGGGCGCAGAGGCTCCGCTTCCAAAGCACACAGAGGGTCCGGGCCAAACCTTGCACGTCCCTGAAAACGGACACTGTTTCTTAAGCCGGTCTCTGCACCGGACCGCAGGCCAGCGAGCAGCGCCGTCCGCCCCGCTCACGAGGGGTTCCACTGACCGAGACCCCGAGTCACCGCTCCGAGCAGCCGTTCCGAGCGGGCCCCGGGCTTGAGTGGACCCCACGCGCCGGCTCTCGGCCCGCCGACCACCCGGAGTGCCTAGAGCACCCGAGCGCCAAAGGGCGCGCCGCCTCACCGAAGCCCGCCGGACGCTCCCGCGTCCCTGCCCGCGCTGCGCTGTGACCCCCACTGCCACCCCGCAGCAGTTCTCGCCGTTGCAGCCTCCAGGCCCGAAGGTCTCCGCCCCCGACCCGGACAGGCCTCGGATCCGCCCCCGCAACGAGCACGCCCCCAGGTGGACACGCCTCCAGATGGACACGCCCCACAGACGGACAGGCCCCCGACGCAAGCTGCAGAGCGCCCGGCTGACGGACACGCCCCACGACGTCCTAACGTTGCGCCCCGCCCCCCAGGGTTCCGCCCCCTGCCGGGAAGGCTCCGCCCCCAGCCAGGGTGTACGGTTTCCTCCCGGGCTCCTTGCGGCGGCTCTTCTCTCCACCGTGCCTGCCCGCTCGCGTCTCCCACCCTTGAGGCCGGCTTTAGAGCCGCCCGCCCCGAGGTCGTCTGTGTCCCCGCCCCGAGGCGAGCACGGCTGTCTCTTCGGGTCAGCCTGTTACCTTAAAGGAGCTCAGCGGGCGCCGTGGCGGGTCTCCGCCTTCCTGCTGCAGGCCTGAGACTTCCAAGCTCCCCGCCCCCGCCTAATTCTGTTCCCGCCGCAGGGTCCCCACCCTGTGCAGCGCCTCGGGGCCCTGGAGAGAACCGCCAGGCGGCGGGCCCGGCTGGACTGCTCCCTGCCCCAGGGCCACCATCCTTCTCCGAGCGTAGTCAGGAGGAGAAGCGTACGGGTGGCCGCGCCCCCGCCGCCAGCGAGCGCCCCTTGCCCTGGAGCTCAGGACGGTGCGACCCCTGGAGGCCGGCTGCAGGGAGGAAGGGAGGCCACTCCTGGATGACAGCCGCCCGCCTCTTGGCCACCGGCCGGTCCTCATCCCTCCTTCCAGGTCCTCAGACACGGCCCCCTCTGATGGCCGGGCACCCCCGCGCTGAGGCCCAGGGCCGGCTCTCAGATGAGAGGTGATCTGATGGGGCCACGCCCGGGGAATAACGCTCCGGGTCTTGTCGTCGCCGTCGGAGATTCTTACCAGCTCCGCAGGCTGCCCAGGAAGCGCGCTCTGGGCCCGGGGCCGACCGAAGTCGCTGCCCTTTCCACTTCCTCAGCGGGTTTTCTGCCCAGATCTGCACTGCGCCCGCCCCCCAGCTCGCAACCGCCCCCCACCCCCGGCCCAGCACCTCGTTAATGTCCATTCCTATCAACCTCGTGAGTAAAAACCCTGCAGCTTCCTCTGGGCCCTCCGCCCCCCCGGGCCTGCCTGAATATCAGAAGCCCAAGAAATACGTACTCCCACGGAGTACGTGGTGAAGCCCACGGAGAACTCGCCGTTTTAAACGAAATGTGTGCTTCCTGTGGGTGAAAGGGGGACGCTGCAATAAATCTAACCGACAGTCACCTTACAGGGTGATCGGATCATAAACCCGCCACTGGGAGGGTCAAGGTGCACAGTCGCCCCCAGGCCTTTAACTTCTTTAGTGATTGAAAGGTTTGAGCAGCCCTGGGCATTGCTCTTGGCAGTCTACGTTGCCACACCTTGGAAATGCTGGAGGCACCCGTCTCCTCCGGACCCCTAAAGGGAGCACACCGCCTTAATTTTCCTGCACCACCCCCCCTGCTTTCTCTCACCTGCGTCCCCTTCTGGATCCTGAATGCACAAAAGAAACCGCTAACCTCATTCTCAGGGACACTTGAGATCTCGCTTCCCTGCAATGCAGTGCCACCAGTTTGGACTCAAATTCTTACAAAACTCTGTACAGGTTTAAAAAAAAAAAAAAACCTGACCGGGGATCTGCAGGTTTCTCGAGGATTTCGCAAAAAGAGGCTTCTTTGTGGAGAGAAGTAAATGTTAGAACTGGGTGGGGAGGACTGGGAATACACCCCCCCACAGGCCGGCCTATGCCTCTGTCGTGACCAATCAGAGTGGCCCCATGATGTCAACGCAAGAAAGGTCCAAACCTGTAAGAATTTTTATGAGTTTCTTTCAGCCAAACTGATGACAATGGCTGTGAAGAAAAATCTCAGTGGACTGAGAACATGCTGGATAGAATGGGAGTTTCACCCCTGGGTTTATACATTACAATCAAATGAGGGCCCCACGAAATCCACTGGTGGTGGGTTAGGGAGGTGGGAGAAAGCAAGGCGGGATCTCTGAGACTGGATACAGAGTAAAGTGAAGAAGTGAAGAAACACATGTTTCTTTTACATTGGATAACAGTTAACATTCACAGCGCCCACACATGGTATTCGGGGAACAGGGTAACGATTAGGGGTTCTGGTCTTGTGCTCTGGGGGAGCTTGTGCCCTGAGGGGTCTGGGGAAAGGGATTACTCAGGCATGTTATCTTAGGGTCAAAAAGACAGAGTGAAACCGAAAAAGTGTGCGTGCTGCCCGTCACCTACCAGGCCCAAAGAGCAGAGAGACGGGGGTGGGACGTTGCTTTATTCAGACGGCCAGCAACCTGAGATGACAGTGGGTTTGTGCCCTTACATTTCCTTTCCAGCCAGCCTTTTTAGTGAGGGGGCAGAAGTGTGGGTGAGGGGTTTGGACCTCAGGAAAGACATGAGTCAGATAAAATCGGCACCCCTGCAGATTCCCTGACACCCTTCCATCCGCTGACTGGTCCTTTTCTTCACCCATGTCCTGAGTCCTGGGTGATTTTCTTACCTGTGTCCCAGGTGGCTGTCTGTCTCTCCGAGGAACACAAGGGCCTGGATGCCACTTTGATTGCTCCTGGTCTCTTCTTGGGAACAAAGGTCAATCACCTGTGGTCTCCTGGAGAGGGAGGGGATGGTTGGGGGGGGGCGCTGTGCCTGCAGTTCCTGAAACAATAGCTTTTCACATGCATTAACCACTAGGCTTATTAACTATGACCTAACACTAAAATTTTCCCACTCTTGAGTCCCCCATCAAACAGACAGGCTCAAGGTAAACATCCACCTTTGTCAAGGGGGACATGACTCCCTGCCCTGACTCCCTTTAAGTTACAGGAAGGCAGGGTAACAGGAGCAACTGCAGGTGAGGCACAGACTCACCCCCAGGCTGCGTGGGCGCTCTCCTCTGCCTCGGGGACAGCACCAGATGCAAACTCACCAGCAGCAAGTCCGCTGAGGAACAGCTGAGCTGGCCCACGTCAGGGTGCAGGGCTGCAAAGGCCCACGCACCTCGATATCTGCATTTGTTCTCCAGGAAATAGACTTCCGGGCCCCTTCAAGGTCAGGATGGGGAGCGCCGAGGCAGGAGGCTTGCTGACGGGGTTCAAGGCTCACATTCCTGGGAGTTTCCAACACAGCCCTGTCCTGGACAGAGGCGGCTCAGGGAAACAAGGGCTCCGGTCCGGCTGTCTGGTTAGGGATGGAGTTGGCACAGTGGGGGAGGGGATGGTGCTTTCGGGGAGACTGGGCATGAGTTCAGATTCCCCTGCCTGTTACCTGGGTAACCCTGGTGAGCCTGCTGGCTTCTCTCAGTGCTGGTTCGCTCATTTGCAGGACAGGAACATGGCACTTTCTGGGCGTGTGCCGTGGCGATTAATGAAGAACGTATGAGCCGGGCTTAGCGTGAGCCCACTGCCCAGCGCCCACCAGGAGCTCGCTGCTGCTTCCTCCCTGGACCCTAAGCAGGAGGGGAGGAAAGCCCGGAGAGTCTGCCTCTAGCCGGAGCCTGGCGCTGGGGGCGTGGCTCTAGACTTGTGTGTTTAAGGCGTGACAGGAGTGACTGTCCCCAGGCTCTGTTGCATCCTTAGGATTCTCAAGCTCTGAGTAGCTTTGTCCCACTTTCGGGAAACTTCCCTTAAAAACTCCTTTACATTCTAAATTATTTTTATTCTGAGAAAGTTAGGACACGTTCTGGGTGCTTTTTTCCCTCTGACTTGTCTCTTTTTGTGGACAGCACCAACATCTGTGGCTGCGCCGCGCCGCACCAGCCTGGCTGCCGTGGTTCCCGTTTTGTGACACTGTTTCATTCTGAGCTACGGCTATGACCAAACAGGGGCAGAAAAAGACCACTCGAGTGTTTTTCAAACACTTCGAGTTCTTCTCGAAGACGCCACTCTCACAGTCGGTACCACGGGAAGAAACTTTTCGGAATAGAGAGTGAGACTGTTGAGAACCGCCCTGCCTGGTTTTAGGAGCAGTAACCCCCCCATGGCTGAGGCTAAGTGAGTGACCCTCCGACCATAAGCCACTAAGGAGGCAAAGCTTATCTCCCTGGCAGGAGCGCCGCTTCTGCTCCTTCATCCATAACTGGCCCCCAATGCTTGATCAGTTAGCCAATGACAGGTAACATCCCCAAGGGGGAAAAAAACCTAAGACAGACATGATCACATGGAAGTCCCAGAGAAGGACTTGGGGGGCTATGGAGAAAGCGGGTGATGGACCCTCGCCCCTCGGCTTTGATGAAGCCTGACTCCCCTAAGTTCACAAGAAATCTCCGAAAATTCCTTGGCTATCTGCCTCCTCCGCCCAACGTAAGCCTGAAACAATGACAGAGGTGCAGCCCTGTGCTGGAAAGGGCGGGCTCCCCGGGTGATCAGGCCTGAGACAGGATATGTAAGATCCTGTGAAGCCTGCTTTGCTAAGGATGCTCTTAGTTAAATGATAAAGGCCTGAGCAGGAAATGAGTTTGTTTCCCAAGGTTTTGTAGCCTCTTAGTTGATAGTTCTGTGTATGCTATCTACTGTCTGATCCTTACTGCCTGACAATGATTAATGAACTCTACCTGTAGTCCTGCACAAATTAAACCCAATAAAACCCCGTCCAGGCGAGGGTCAGGGCACTCTCCCCTTGAGAGAGTGGCCGTGCCGTCCCTTTTCCTCCACAGGACTCGGAAGTCCGTGGGAATCTGTCTCATGTCTCATCCGTGATGCCGTGGACACTGCGGGCCGGTGCACGCATCATGAGACTAAATCAAATCCAACAGCATGACACTCTGAAATGGGAAATAACGGAATGTATTACCTTTACTCTTTTTCTGTAAAAGCTTATTTTATTGTTATTGGAGAGAGAAGGGAAGTGGAGGTGGGCGGACAGAGGGAGAGAAAGCGAGAGAGAGACACTGATTGGTTGTCTCCAGCACGCGCCCTGACCAGGAACTGAACCTGCAACCTTTCGGAGGGGGAGACACCCCACCCGCAGAACCACACGTGC